CTATTTAAAGAAATTTTTTTTTATTGGTTTTATTGTCTATTTTTCTTTCTTAAACAATTTACAATTTCAAACAAATTAGACAATGAAACTGCAATTTTTAGAAAAAAAACTTTGATTTAAAATAGTGCGATGAGATCTTTGCTGCACAAAAAGTCAAACTAAATCTGCAGTAATGAATCGAAACCGTTCACAGGTTTTTGGTGACAAAAGATGTCTATCTCTGTAATGCGCCCAGAAAAAAATTGCTGTTCCCAATTAAGTTTTCTCTGCTTTTTCGTTTTCGGTACAACAGTCTTTTTGTAAAAAACTTTTTCTTGCTTATCACTGTCTTTTTACTAAAGCCGTTTCACTTTGCAATCTGCCAACACTGTTGTAATATTGTGATTTAAAAAAAAAAAAAACTTCCATTTTTTTCTAAGTTTTAGGTGAAACTTTAAAATGCCTGGCAAATAAGACGTAATAAAAGACCAAAAAGAGTTCTAATAATGCCAAAATTTAGGATTCAAAATGAGTGCTTTCTCTTTTTTTTTCTTTGCTTTCTTTATTTTTTTTATAATAATACATTAATTATTTGTAGATGACTTTTGCTGGCTATTTTTAGAACACACTTATAAAACCGCTCAAAATCCTAAACTTAAATTCTGTTAGCCATCCAAAAACAAACTTTAAAATTATGCTATGCTATTTGCTGGTGGGTAAAGTATACATATAAAGAAAAGTGAAAAGAAAACATAATTGATTTTTATACGTGATGTCAAACCTGTATCTCCAAAGATTCAGCAGATTAAGACGATCTGATATAAATCAAAAAAGTGCAGATATTTTTTAACTGTTCTTGATTAACTTTAACTTTTTGCTGTCTCTAGCGGTTAATTTTGTTTCCCAAACTGTATCCAAAAGTACTACAACAGCAAAATAAAGCATTTGTGAGCAGAGGCCAAAAATTGAGTACGTCTTACATAGATATTTTAAAGGCTAAGATTTAATTGTTGAACGTACCTTTTTACGGCACTGAACAAATGATTCTGAAACAATAGACATTTTATCCAAAAAAAAAACTCAATTTTTTAATATAGCTTACAAATAAACATAATTGCTGACTAATTGAGCGCAATAGGTAATTTTTTATAAGCTAAAAAACATAACTTCACATTTATCGCAAAAGACTGTAATTTGTGCTTACTATTTATCTAAATAACGACTAAAAATATTGCCATCTAGAAACAAATTTATGTTTAAATACAATTACAAGTTCCAGAATATTTTGTTCTTGCTGTATATCGACTGTAGTGGTGAGTGTAGAACAAAAGTAGAAGACAGTGGCAAGTCTGAAAGTAACCGTTTGGTTGCGACAGGGCGAACTCCTCAGGCAGACGAATTCAATAACAGCACTTGTGGCTCACCAACCGGCAGATAGACTATGTGTGAATTTCTACTTTGGCACGGTTAAAAATGTTTTTTTTTTTCAATGACCTTTGGCAAAGCCAAAATCACTGTCTTCAAATGCACAGTCATTATAGTCAAGGAAACTCTCTTGTTTAAAAACTAAAGTTACTTTTCATTTGCAAAATTTAAAGAGTTCACTTTACTTCTGGTGTCATTACTCTTCATTTCTGCTTTTTTCAAGCTTTTTTGCTTTTTTATTTGTATACTATATAAATCAACTAAGGCTTTATTAATTAGAATTAAAATTTTGAAAAAGTTTGAGCAAAACTGTACAACTTTGTTTACTAATAAATATAACAGAAAAATATGTTCAAAAATTATGTAGAACAAGTAATGCTTTTACTTAGGCTCTTGATATTCTTTACAAATTATACGCTAAATTCAGTCATACAGAACAAAGCTGATCTGACTGCGATAAAGCATTAAAATTAAAAGACGTTGATTAATTAAATGATAACATCAGTTCTGGGTCAATAGTTTTCATAAAACTT